CCCCCCCCAGCCACTCTCGTGCCTCCACGGCTCGGCTAAAGGCCCTGCGAGAGACAGGAAATCCACTTTTCTCTTCCCTTTCCTCTTCTTCTCCCCCTTCCCCTTCTCCTTCTCTATCCTCTCCTTCTCCTCCTTCCCCTTCCCCTTCCCCTTCCCCTTTCCTTTCCTTTTCTTCTTCCCCTTCCCCCGCCCTTTCCTCTTCTTCTTCCCCGTCCCCTTCCCTCTCCCCTTCCAGTTCTCGCCCCCGGCACGCACCAACACACTCCGTGCTCCTCGGTTCTCTGCTGCAGACACAAAATCACAGAAATTGCAGCCTGAGTCTTGTGGCAGGAGCCTTTGGAGGGCATCTCGTCATGCTGCCGCCTCAAGCAGGGTCCCCCAGAGCCAGCTGCCCAGCCCCACGTCGGCTTTGCTTTTGCACGTCTCCAAGGAAGGAGACTCCACAACCTCACAGCGCAACCTGTGCCAGTGCTCAGTCACCAGTGAAAAAGAAAAGTGCTTTGGGACGTTGAGGCGGAGCCTCCTGTCTTTCAGCTGGTGCCCATTGCCTCTCCTCCTGGCACGGCACACCTCTGAAGAGAGCCTGGCTCCATCTCCTTGACGCCTTCCCTTCGGGCATGTGTGCACATTGACGAGATCCCCCCCTGAGCCTCCTCTGCACCAGGAGCAACAGTCCCGGCTCTCTCAGGCTCTGCCCAGAGGACAGATGCTCCCTGTCCCTTCAGCATCTGCGTGCAGCCCTTTGCCGCTCTCTCGCCAGTAGCCCCACCTCTCTCCTGTGCTGGGCAGCCCAGCCCTGGACACAGCACCGCAGGGGTTGCCTTGCCAGTGCAGTCGAGGGGGCCAGGATCCCCTCCCTCCACCTGCCGGCCACGCTCCTCCGCATGCAGCCCAGGACACCGCTGGCCGCCTTTCCCCCAAGGCACCTTGCCGGCTCAGGCTCCCCTTGCTGTCCCTCAGCACCCCCGGGGCCTCTCCTCACAAGCTGCTCTTCCACAGGAGACGGCCGTTTCCCAGGCGTGGGGTTTAACACTGGCTCTCCTCCAGCCTCCTCTGCGCGGATGCCCGGAGATGCTGCCGTGCTTCTGCGGAGCTGAGGGACCTGGCAGCGCTGGGGCTGTTCCCGGGCTGAGAAGGCCAGGCAAAGGAGCCCTGCCAGCGCCTGTCCTGCTCTCTGCCCTTTGCCCAGCTCCTGCAAGCCCCACCAAAAGGCTCTCTCTCCCCTGCCTGCTGCCTGCTGCCTGCTGCCTGCTGCCTGCTGCCTGCCTCCTCCCTCTCCCCACACTCCCCACCCTCACCTCGCCTGGGC